ATCCGCTGGTTTCGGCAGCTGAACATGACAGAGGTATCAGAGATAACGAAGCTCCTGCTTATAAAAGCAGAAAATGGAGGAGAAAGACCCTTCCAAACCTAGATTTCTTCTGGGGTGCAACCAGGGGAAACGCCTCACTAGGGCCACCGTTACCTACAAGGCATGGGCTGAAAGGAGGGCTGAATCGTAAACTTTTTTTGTTCCCCCCCTTTATTAAAAAAATAATTCAAAACATGGCTATCCTATTACTGCTACTACAAATCAGATCAGTGGGAGCTTTCTGTTCCAACACACCACCACTGCTGTCTGGAGAGGAACCAACCTCTCAACAGACAAAACACCCGGCAGCAAAACGTCGCTGGCGCTGGCCTTTGGAGCACGTAATGGAGCGAGCGCGTTGGTGCTGCACCGCGACAGCGGAACAAGCACTGCCACGAAGGAAACAGACGACTCGGAATAAACTGAACCCAGATTTGCAGTTCTTCAGGAAGCCGTCTGACTGATGGAACGGTCGCAACGCTTGCCGGTAGCGTGTGGTGGTTGTGTGGGACTGAATCTGCCGTCACAGAGGCGGCCTCAGCTGTCCGTTACTTACCCTCTGAAGGCATTTTAGTGCGACGGAGCGCTGCTCTGCAGCTGCAGGCCTGCTGAATAACCAGGTAGGTTGCCACAAGCTACATCCCCTCATTAATCCCCTGTTTTCAGTGGGAATGATTCGCTTCCTGCCGATTACCATCACACAATAACGATGGTCTTTTCACAAAAAAATAAAAACCCTCCGATTTCTATGAAGGCTATCCATAAGACATAAAATAGTTACCACATTAACTACAAGGTAAGTTTATTTGAAAACAAGGTAAAAATCACTGCACTTGACGACACAGCGCGAGAGGTACGTTTTCCGTGGACATACGATACAGAGACTCTAGCCAGTAGAGCAATTACACAGCTCCCCCTGCCCCCAGGCGCACCCATTTCTTCTCTTAAATACAAGCCCTGTTTTAAATGCTAGCTGTAGCCACTGACAATAAAGCAGCTTGCATCTGAAACAGCATGTTAGAAATCACTTATTAAGCACCAGCTTAATAATATTTGCTTACACTACTCAAATTATCTTTTTGCTCTCCCTCCCTCTATCCCTCATTGACTGGTTTGTCGTTTGATTTTTGTTTTGTTTTCTTCATAAGCACTTAATTTTTCCTTGGTACAAAATGTATCCAAAACAAAGGCAAAACACTTAAACACCTTGCTGTGGAAATGCTTAATGTTGCTACTTTGCCTCTTCACTGCCCAGGACCCGACAGGCTCTTGTTCATGAACTGTCTCTTCACAAAGCAGATCCACCACTGCAGAAGGGAGTAAAAAGTCAGAAAATACACAAAAGCGGTTTCCATGTGATAAACAAGACAATGAGTTCAAAGTATTCACCCTCTGACAAATACCAAACGTTAAGGCTCCAGTTTTGCACACACTGTTTTCCACGCTGGTTTCTACTGGAATTTAGAACAAGAGGATAGGAATGGACCCAATGAATTTATAATATAGGACTCTGAATTAAAGTGGGACATTCTAGTTTCTATTACTTCTATTTTTTTTACTGTTTATTCCAATACATTTATTCCAATATAATTATAAGCACGGGATGTATCAGAAAGCTATGCATTCAAAACTAAATTAGCCTAAACAGTTTCAATATTAAATGCAGTCCCATTTGCACACGAAACATCTGAATGCTCAGGAGGTAATTCATGCATTGATTAGCTATTTTTTTCACTCTGATATGACGCAAAATGGTCTACTTCAAAGAAGCTATCAAACCAGAACCGCACGGGAAGATAAACGGCGTCTCTCACGCCTGTGAATTTCGACTTGCAAGCCAACAGCAGATGTGCAATACTTTGAAGAGTTGAACCAGGCACCACTTACGAACTGCCCTGCTTTTTGAAGTAACCCAAATTTGCATTCGCTGTCTTACAATATTACAGATTAAATTTATTGATAACTTGCAGCCTGCTATTTCCCCTACCTTGTGAAACTAGGAAAGCTTGTGCCACCGTTACCCACACCTGATCCTTCAGCCCAGCACCTCACTTCTCCCCACACATTTCTGAAACAACACACCAAGCCTCCCACGAAGTCTGTGGCGATCGCACTGAACTCCTACCTTACTGGGCTTGTCACTCTGAGGATCAAACACTTTTTCACAAAGGCGAAGACCAGTTTCTTGCCTCAGCTGCTGCAGGTAGGCCCTCATCACCTCTGAAACACGGCACGGGAAAAACCAGCGTAAACTGAGGCAGCACCAAGTCAAACTGAATTTAACAGGGAAGCATCAGAGATCGCTGCTAAAGCAGAAAGTGAGCTTTCACGCCAGCAGGTACTGATTGGCCGGCTGAGCTGGTTTGCACAATTTACAGCCACACCTGGGATTTTTGTGATATTTGTACAGGTAAAAAGGATCATCCAAACAGTTTTCTTCTCTCAGTTACCCTTGCTCATTATTGTGGGCTTCCTATTCTGCCAGCACAGCAGAGTTTACCAGGGTTTAGCTAGTGATTTTGTTGACACAAAAGGCAGATTCAGACCTCTGTTAATCCAGGGGTGTCACTGGGCCCCCGAGGTCAGAAAATTCAGCTTCTGCTACCTTCAGAAGACAGCGCTGCAGATTTAGAAGATTCAGTTCTAAGGGTCATTTTTCTAGTTGCAGCCACAAAAATGCAGCTGGTAAAATATGAGCCCACGGAAGCCTCCAGAGGTCCTGGATTAGCCTTACCTTCCTCCTGCTTGTTGGCAGGTCTGGCGTAAATGGCATTAAGTGGAAAGCCAGGCTCCCCAGGGATTGGGAAGTTGGTGATTCCTAGTGTGTACATTTCTTTCTCTCCTTGGCCTTTGGAGTTACACTGGAAGAACCAGGCAAGCAATGGATTAACAGTTAGAAACCAAAGCTGATGGAGCGCTAGACCCAAAGATTTCACCAATCTGTAACACATAAAAACTCATCAAGAACAGCAGCACAACGTCTCTTTGGGGATCCACAGCCTTGGAGTATCTGTGGCTCTGACAACTGGGACTATTTGTGTCACTGGAAGGAGAACATCAGCAAACCCTTTCCTGATTACAATCCCCAGAACAGACCCAGTTTCCCTCCTGCACAGAAATTCACTTTTCTTACCTTTTGCAGCTTTTTCAGGCACTCGGAAATGTAGAGAGTTACGTAGATCAGCGTTCTGTCAGCCTCGTTCTGCGAAACAAGAGCAAGCACAGAGCCCAGCCACTCTGGGATTAAGGCAGACTTTATGGAACTGATAAAAAGTTTGAAACAGAAATGAGTTCAAGCCATTTTGACCTACAATTTCCCCATGAGAGAGGCACTTGCAACCCATGACATTTACCCAACTTTAAAAATTAAGTGGGAGGAAGCGGAGTTTTTGTTATCAAGTAGAATTATTTCACTGAAAATAAATTACATTCACAGCACCAACCCTTCAAAGAGCTACTATATGCACAGTATCTCAAAAAATTACCTTAATTTCATAATTTTTGAAGAAAACATTAGCTTTGAAGTAGTAGATGGCTTCATCTATAATATCTGTGTCCTTAGCTAACAAAAAAGAAATACAGAGTTAAAGAAGGTACCATTATACTACATTTGGTCATAACTTTTACTCACCAAAATATGTAAATAGGGATTACTGCAAAGGCAAAACTTTGGTATTCACAAAAAGCAGAAGACAGCACGATGTAACAGAAAATAGTTGTTGCCATGTGAAACCCTGGGGAGCACAGACCGTGATATTTAAGCACAAACGGCAGCAATTCAGCAGTTCCCCACTTTTCTACCAATTGAGTAACTCAGCAGAGTTTTAACAGCGTAAAAGTCTTCTCAGGACACAAAACTATTTTTGGAGAAAGGACAACGCCACAATCAGACAAATTTAATTATCCTCATCAAAAAAAGGGGCGGTGAGCAGAACACGTAGTGGCAGGCTTAATTCTGACTTTCACCTGCTTTTGCTGCCATCCCAGACCACTTAAATCCAGAAACACTCCCTTTATGTTTCCCTTCTCAAACCAAACTGCTACACTACCGGGTGATAACGTGCCTGGCCGCAGCCCCAAAGCCCGAGTTCTCAGCAGCTAAACCTCCACTTCCTCCGACAGCAGAGGTTCACACAGCCACGTCCTCCTCAAAACCTACCGACGAACACAGCGAGACACAGGAGGAAGCACAGTAACTGTAGGATTTAATTACTGAAACAACTGATTTAGCTGGAGCACAGCGCATATTTATTTGTGCATCATTATCTTCTATGATTTGCACAATTGAAGTATCTGAAAACTTTCTTCCTCCTCTGTAAACTGCAAAGTGCTCCATTTCCAACCTGTCACTCATCGCTCTTGCTAGGGCTGGCTTGGAGCAAACCGCGCGATGATGACAAGCTCTGCGCAGGCAGGTTTTCAGAGATTATTATAAACTTACTTTCCCGAGGCGCTGGGCCTTTGAACTGGCTCCTGATGGGCAACAGCGCCATGTTCCCAATTAGCTTGGTGTCGGAGTCCATTAAAGTTGAGTGGTAAGCCTGCAGACGGGGCGGGAAGGCTGGTCATTAACGCTACCGAAAATAGACATTTCCATGTCCGATCATGCGTCCCCCGTGTCTTCACCAAGAAGACAAGTCAGAGTCCAAGAATAAGTCAGAGTCTAGTTCCTTAGAGATGCTCCCAGTAACTTTTCCTTGCACCAACAATCGCTGTTTTCTAATTAGGCCCAGATCTCAGCGCCACTCTGACGAAGGCCGTGAAAGCATCGTCACGGGCCCCACTCAGGGCGGCGGCGGCGGCGGG